GTCTTGTTCCATTGGCAAAATGTCTCTTTTACCTCCTCAATTCAAGAACAAATTCACTTATTTTAAGAAAAAATTACTTATCTAGATTTCAGTTTTTTCCAGTGTATCTCCCTGCATTTATTTTCACACACTTTTAACAACTTTGGGATCACAAATCTGGTATGATAATCAGCAATTGTAGGAAAAAGAAAACAGGTAGGATAATAAATCCAGCACTGATCGTCTGATCACCTGATCTTTTGCTGCATCTGGACCAGCTGTGTCCTTTTTGGGTGTTTTAGTGGGAGTAACCTGTTATGAAAATGAAAAAAAAAAAACAGAAACGTGTCACAATGTCCTGAACAGAAATGTAAAAAAAAAACCTTCCCAGCCAGAGGATGTGGTTGCTGTTGCACCAACTATTATTTCTATAAAACAGAAGCCTTTTTGATAAATTCAGCCCTAATGCAAAGCTCAGTCCAGCAGACAGAGTCCACTCTCAGGTCCCTGACAGAGCATGTACAGTACATGCGCTGTCATTGTGACGGCCATTGTGCTCCGGAGATGGCGTAGGCCTGCCCTCGCGCTATCTGCTCTCCAATCTCAACTTCCAGAGGCACAGGCCTCCCTTGTGAGCTCACCCGATGGGACGAACAATAGTCCATCACATTCCCGCATGTTCAAAGACTTGATTAGCATGGGGCTGGGGTAGTGGTAACTCTTTAAAACCTCATGCATCCAAAAGACAGCATGATGAAGAGGAAATACAATGGCTGCTTGTTGTAGGGTTTCCATCAGGCACTGTCATCATGATCCCATTTACAGTAAAACATTGAATTAGAGCTTTTATAGACTTAAATGATGATATTAGAACTTATATTTAGAAAAAATAACATTATTCACATTCTTATTTTAAATCAACAAGGCATTGCAATATAAAAACAAAAAAAACAAATTCTTGGTTTATTCTATTTTAACATATTTTTGTTAAAATATCAGCAGAGTTTAAACCTCACCTACTAGTTCCACTTACTAGTGTTTTAAAGAAGTTCATAACTGGGTTCTCTTCTGGGTCGCCCTCCTCTCGGTTCTCCTCTGGCTCCGCGTTTCCGTCCTCTCTCTCAGGAACCGTCTCTTCCTCTGGACCGGACTCTGCAGTCGCTCCGATCTCTGGCTCAGTCACAGGTGCCGACTCTTGCGTTACGTTTGCTGGCTCCTATACGCCGCCACAGAGAATGGGCCTTTGAGGAGGATGGTAGAGCGGTGGAGCTGATATGCGAGGAAGCAGTGAGCGTCTTAATCGCAGCATTGAGATGGGAGGACAATTCCAACCATGCCTCTGCCTACTCGGGGCATTGTCAACAATCAGGCCTTTTATTAATGTGTGTGTGTCCCACCCCTCACTCATTGATATTCAACAATGTGTAAGAGTTATGCTCTCTGAGATATCAGGAAAGTCGACTATCGATGCCCTGAAATATTTCTACTTTCCTATTTAGAGAGAAATACACCTAAAATGTCTCGGTTTTAAGCAAGTTTTTGTTTGTGCACAGATTTGGAGATTAAAGCTGATTCTGACTGAGGATGATTTCTGAATAGGATTTAGATTAACTGCAGTTCAATCTGAAAAACTCACACGGAGAGAAAAGCCAATTAGAAGAAATGTATTGATACAATTACTTGGTGTTTGGCGCTCAGACCTCGGCAGGAAACATAGTGCTGAAGTTTGATAGATATGCATGAACAAGAGCAAAGATTAGGGCTGTTCTTGAAACTGGTGGTGTAGTGGAGATAGATGAAGTTGGTCAGTCTGTAGACTGCTGGTTAGGGAGACGGTATGCTGAGCTTTATGGAGAGATCCAGTGGATTGCCTGAGCTGATACTAGAATTTCACTCAGGGACCTGGAAGATGGAAGTCCAGTTTGGAAAACACAGGTGTCCATGATGAGCAAGCATGAAGTGACAGTGGAGAGGAAAAACTCTGGCCTGGGTGCCATTCCGAACTTAGTCCCGCCCACAACGTTTGAGGTCGGGAA